GTTAAAACCCATCAAAATACAAAGGTCACATATAAAATCACATTATTGCACAGAATGTAAATATCTTATTATCCATTTGTCTACAAAATTCTCAGGTAAAAGCTTTATATATATATAAGAGTATATCAACTTAAGGAAAACTACGCCTATTGTAACTTGCCAACATAGTCACCGGGCTTTATATTTTCAAAATATGTTTAAGACGCAGGGTGTGATTTTAAAGAACTAAACTTGCAGGGTGTGATTTTAGAAGTATTTGATTCACTTCTCAGAATATTTAATTTCCTTAGTCCTTTTAGATGAAGGTTCTTCAAGCAGACCAAGATGTTAGAAGACCTCTTGCCACTTTACCTCAACAAAATGTAAGCCTAAAGGCCCCTGGCAAGGGCACACCTAGGCAGTGATCCTTACCTGCCTCCCGTCCCATTCCCACTGGGAAAGTCATGAACTTTGACTGGAAATTGTTCCATCTGGCTGAGGCAGTTGTTCATCTTGTGAACTAATGCCAACAAAGGTGCATTACCCACTGGTTCTACTCTTCCAATGGGCTCTTCTCCAGGAAGCTGAAGTTATAAATAAACCAACATTAAGCAAGGCCTCATGAAAATGGAACACTCAACAAGAAACTTAAACAGGCATTTTCGCAAAAGATCTATTTTATCTTTTCTGATGGATTTGGTTAGAAGAATGTTTAAAAAGAAATTGTTTCAATAAAGACACTCTTTTTGTACAGGCCCACAATCCCGTATTTCCAATTCCTAAGTCCAAAAGGCTTCAAAACACAACTAATTTGGTGGCAAAATCTGACTCAGACAGACACAAGGCCATCTGCAGTCTTTATTTACTTATATTTAGTAGAAATATTCATGTTTTGCTGTAAAAACTGTTTAATGTGTATGGAGTATTCAGAATCCACTGGGGATAGCAGGTGACATGTGGTATACACACTATACGGCAGAACTCGTGAAAACCCATCCAGCCCCAAGGAGTTTCAGATAAGAGATTACAGACCTGTTCACAGTTGTAAACACAGCATAAAACTATATCCAATACTGCTACACACCTAATGACTCTCAAATAAAAACCAGTTCTGCTTTAGGCAGCCCCACAAGTTAAAATACTACATGCAGTACTCAAATGCCTGCAGACACAGTTTCATTAACACACAGGAGAGTTGTCCTTAGCCCTGCTACACAGATGATCCTGAGAAAGTTCCCTAGGGATGTCTTAAGTTAGTGTAAACAAGTAGAATGACGGTGAGTCAACAGTGTCCAGATTGCCCTCCTGCTGTCACAGAGTGAGAGAAGTGAAGCTGTTCTGTGTCTTCTGGTCTCATAATCCACATTATAAAGGGAGACTAAGTGCTCTCCAGTGAAATTGTTAGTACTGCGTTTCACATACAAAAAAGAAATGCGTACGTCTACCCTATCTTGTTTCTATAGTTGTATTATGTCTACTGTATTCCCCTAAAATACCCCTGCAAACTGCAATATGTTTAAAAGCAAATATTAAGAAAAAAATATATTCACAGGTGAGAAAACATTAACTGCTTGTCTTAAAGAACAAAGACTCGAGATACATCGACAACAGAATAGGCACTTCCTTCATTAAATCACCATTCTGTTGTTTTACTATTTACCTAGTATATAAAAACCAAGGAATCCAACTGTGTATAATAAGCAAGTTAAAAGCTTTACCTCAATTTCTTGACAAGACTACTGGAAATTACTAGTAGGATGAAAATACACACATTAGCGGACAATGATTTTCGGGGTTAACTAGGTTTATTTATTAATTTATTTTCTTTTTAGAGGCGGCATCAGCAATTGAACCCAGCGCCTTGTACGTGCGAGGCATGCATCCTACCACTTGGGCCGCACCCCTCCCCTAGCGAACAATGATTTTTAAAAGACACACAGGCGTTTTTATTAGATAACTTACTGGAGAAGAAAAAAAGACATGGAGGAATCTCTTTAATCTGATCTCTCTGCTCACAGCATCCTTTTCACTTTTAGATGTCAAATACAGCAACAGTTGTTTCACAAATCCGCTATGCTGGATTTCAAATGACGAAACATCTGATTCTGAGACTATGCTACGGATTTCTACAAGGCACTCAGCTCCACCATCCACCTGAAAGAGTTGAAAAATTATTTCCATATTGATTTTAAGAGCCCTTAGTAAATGCAAAATTCACATTTCCCCCAAAGCAATCAGATACTCTAACAACTTTAAAAAAGAAGGTAGGGACAGGTAGTGCATTCTCGGTAAATCCTGGAGAAATATCATCTTACACACATATACATTCACAAAATGTTATTATTTCATGACAGAAAACCAGTGTCCATACTAACATAAAAAAACCTTCATATTCAACCAATGTAGTTTCATTAAAAAAAAAAAAAAGACAAAGCATGAGAAAATGAATTGAGGAGTAAAGAGCTATAATACCAAAATGAAAAGCTATAACAAAAGTTCAAGGTATGGCTTTCAATTAGCACATTTAAGGTCCAAATGAAATGGAAATATTTTGGAAAACATGTACTACTCAAATGACTCAAAGTATATAAAAAATGTAAAAAGACTAAGAACCAGATGAAACACAAAAGGCTTACTAAACCTCTCCCGCCGCTGACCATCTGGCCACAGGGGACGAGGAGTTAAGGAGGGCCCTACCAATGCGAGTACCTGTAGCTGAAGAGGACCTAGAAAAGAGGTGTGCTTGAGGGACATTTCTGAGATCTCTTCATTTGTCAAGAAATGTGGGAGGTGAAGGAACGATAGCCAAAGATCAGATTTCTAGCACATTTAATGATAAAATGAGGAGGCATGAAAGTCAAGGGACAAGTTAAAGAAATGTCAGTGCTGAAGGTACATGTCTGGCTAAAAAGTGGATCTCAGATAACTCAATCCATGGACAGCTAGAGTCACCGAGGAGAGAAAGAGCAGGACGAGTCGCCAGAGAGAAAAGGGGTGGCCGGGCACCTGGAGGCCGAGCTGCTGGGCTGCAGCGCACAGTCTCTGCAGGACGTTCAGCGCGGGGTTGCTTCCGTCCATGTTCTCAGAGCTGAAATACCGCTCTACAAATTTATGCGCCTGCTCTTTAATCCAACCTTTGATTTTTTCTCTGCAAGAAGGAAAAACATATTAAAGTCTCAGTGTGCAAAGACAGAGTTTCAATTTAACTTCTGATCAAAGGCAAATAGTTGCTACATTTAAAATCTTTTTTGGCTTATGCTTATAGACCAATAAATTCAGATTCCACATTAACCCAATTAAGTTTCAGTTTGAACATGGGCTACGATGTACCTAGAGAAATGCACAGGTACTGTGCACATTTCAGATCATTACATGAAGACCAAAGGAAAAGCTCTCACTTCTTGGGGCTCTACAACCCAACTGTTTCCTAACTGCTCACCTGAAAGCAAGTTTACATGACTGCTTTCTGAAGTTTCTGCATTGTCTTTACCTGTGCTCCATGGAGAGGTAAAGAACTGTAGGCCAGAGGCATGTGCCTGTAAGTACACAGCAAGCTGTGACAACTGAAACCTCTGTATTTAAATGACAAATTCTGATGGTGTCAGAAATGCATTTGCTTAGCTATTTTTATTAACTGAAAATTTAGAACCACCAACCAACCAAAGCAATCAATCAAAGAGCCTGTGGTCTTTCCCAATGGAATTTGATTTTTAAAAATTTCTTATTTGCAGAGGAAGTAATCCTTGTTAGTATGTTACTCCAGAGCCAAGACAAAATAAAACTACCCTCAAGGATTTTTAAAAAATGCTTTTTTAAAGCCATAAATTAGTGTGAAAGTTTAGATGACAGAATTCAAAGTTTCCAAAAAATGGTTTTCTACCCTAAGATCCTTAAGTTCCCCTGTAAAGGGCAGAGGAGGTATCATAAAAGAGCGGGTGTGCACATGTGTGCATGCGTGTGTGTGCGCGCACGTGTGTGCAGAAAATACAGCAGCTCTCCCTTGTCTGGGACCAAAGGAACAGGTTCAATGGGAAACGTACTTGTTTGGTTTTGAACAAACACAATTCCCAACTGGAGAGGCTGAAAGGAATTTTCAGCTGTAAGACTGGATGCAGGATAAAGCCAGACACAGGGTTCAAGAACTGAGACTGTACCCCATCCTTGAGCTGTGCCGCTTCTAAGCACAAAGACCTGGGGCCATGTTTTATCTCCACAGGAATAAAAGTACTGACTGAAATCATGTAAAGTTTTTCTAACCTGAGAACAGAATGCCCCCCACCTCACCTATTATTGGATATGGTGTCCTTTGAGGCGGCCCTGGCAAGACCACTAACTCCCGCTGTTCGCGCTGGTTCGATGTTGTTGCTGTTGGACTGTGCACTTAACCTTCCCCATGTTTTTGGATTCAAGCTTGCCAGGAAAGAAGATTTAGGTGACTGAGTAGTCGTGGGGCTTTTAGCTTTGAAAAGAAAAGAGAATGATGGTTAAATCACTTTAGCATAACTGATGAAAACCAACTGAATTTTAAGATTCTCACTCTTAATAGATCAATTAATTAGCTGAAAGACCTAATAACACTGGGAATTCAGGAAACTCAGGCAATGCAGATACCTTAAGGAAACTCAGGAAACTTCAAAGTTATCAGGAGTTTTAATGACGTACGTATCTTTAACTGCTACCATCTTTCTCATTACCTTCCCACGGTTTTATCCAAAAAAAAAAAAATTACCTTGATTGTCTACTTTGTCATCATCTCTTGGAGGTGAATACTTCGGCCTTCTTGACCCTCGTTTTGGCAGTCGTTTTCTCTTTAGAACATCACTTAATCGACTATCACACGGAAAAACACGAGATAAATTTGGAATGACCATGATTTAGTATCATCACTCATTTAAATACAAGCTAAAATGACAGGAAAAAATGAGCTACAAAAATACTGTCACAAGAGTATTTTTCATTTAGTGATTATTTAATGCCAGCTCTGCACCAGTCGTGTTCTAGAGGTGCAAAGACACAGAAAATGATTAGTTCAGAAAACAGCTGGCTACTTGGCTACACTGAACTAGTAAAAACAAAACCAAATAAACAGACTATTTCATTAATCCTATGTTAAACTGCACTATAAAATACAGTAAATACATAAAGTATACAAAACAAATATACAATACAAAGAAATCAATATTAGAAAAGAACTATGCAATCACAGACTAGAATATATTAAATTTGAATACCGTATTTCTTCCCTAACCTAAATGGCAGTAAGTAAAATATACATAGTATTGAGTGTTAATATTATCAAAATACTTTCCAATACTACCCAAAGTAATTTCATGGTATGTAATGGCAACACACTAAATTAATACATTTATAAATACTTTCCTTAAAAACAAAAATTATCTATAAACAAATATAGCCAAGCGATAGTGTGAATAACCTATTTTGAATTAGAATATATGAAACAGAACATACTTAGCCTTTGTGTACATTTTTCACTATTCTTAACAACACTAGAAATAGTTTGGAATATCATTCTTAGAATAACAAAGCTACATAAGATGAAAAAAGTTCTTGGTTTCAGTTGGTCTTTGACCCAAGTAAGAAAAATTTTGATACAAAAGTTTTAGTCTTCCAACATCTGACGGGTCTAATTAAAACACTTAATAACGTATTCAAATATACCTGAAAATCAGGACGAACGAGCTTTCAAAGAATAAACTTAAAATATGATTAAACAATTCCACCTGTACAAATTTATAGAAACTTTTCATTTGAAACTGTATGAAGAGAAGAGGAATCACTTAAAACTCTGCAAGTATTTTTAAGAAAAAGATCCTTTCCTCCTTCTTTAGAATTATCAACTGTCAGAATCTATAATCAAATCTAATTCCTTAAAGTGCTCAAAAATGCATCTGTCTGAGCTGCATTACATTTTTCTGAGCATCTATGATACATCTCAGGCACCATGCATGCCTGTGCTATAGAGTAAAACCCTGCAATAACTTAAGGCTATTGCAGCAGCTGGGTGAGGGAGTGCAGCTAGGGAGGAAGGAGAGAGGCGGGCAAGGCTGGGGGGGAACTGACAAGACAAATCCAACTTGAGGACAGGGAAGGTGGGGAGTACCTGGTATTCTCTAGGTCCGAATTTCTTAGATTGAGACCATGACATGGTGTCACCTAAATCCAGCAGCTTCCTAAAGTAACAATTACTGTGCCAGAAGTCCCAGAATTGCAGAAATTCGTATTTAAACCAGAGTGGAAGACCACCACCAGGGGGCACCAAAAGCAGCTGGGATCCTGAGCTCGCTCAGTTTCACAGAACATGCTACCTTGCAGTTTACAAGATTAAACTTTTGGATCCAACTTACCAAGGTCTACTTTTCAGCTTAAGAGGAGTTAAAAAGAAGTATTACACTGAGTACATTATGAATTTCAGAACTGAGTTTGGTTCATCATGTACTGTTCAGATAGCAATTTAAGTTTCTAACATCAAAGAAACAAAAACACTTTTAGAGTGTGATTTATTTTAACACAACAAAATGAAAACCAGCACCAGGGTCTGGTAATCATCTCAGCAGTACAGTACAACAAAGAGATTAAAAACAAAAAAATAGAGGTGGAAGCAATGAATTTTCTTTAAGAACTCCCATTTTCCTTTATTAAGAGCAAGGTTCCTATTTCCCAGTTAAAGATAAATGGGAAATCAGTTTTTTCCTTTACATTCTGAAAACTCCAATTTTTAATATTTTTCACTATATCAATATGTGGATGTCTCGAAGTTGGTATGCATGCTGCAATACAGTAAATAATCACAAGATTATGGAATAAGAAATGAGAGCTCAAATCCTTCATCTGTAAAGTAAGTATGTGACACTATGCAAATAATTTAGCTTCTTTAAGCCTTAATTCCCTTGTATGCCAACAGAAATACCATGTATCTCTCATGGTTCCTAAACATGCCTCGATACAGCAGGTTTCCAATAAATGTTTAGTTAGTTGTCTTCACTTTCCCACCACACATCTAACAAAGCATCAATGGAAAATAGAAAATGTATGCTCTCCATAATATTTTACCATTTAATTCCCTGTATGAGACTCCGGCACCAGGGCAGAGTTAAAGGCAAAGTGCACAAAAATTGAGTGCAAAACTCTGACTCACCCTTGAGGGCTCAGATCTAAAGAATCATCTCTGCTGTGCTGCAAGCTGGGGGACCCCAAGTCAGCCGCGGCATTAGTGGCAGCCGTGGCTGTTCCACTGCTGACCGATGTTGTGGACCCCAAGGATCCTGAACCATTCGTACATGCCTTTGGTGGACTTGTCAACAAAGACTCCGATTCTGCTAAGTGTTTTACTTGATGCATTACACCTATACAGAAGAGAGATTAAAAAATGTGTTAATCAGGACTGCCTTCCCACCATTACAAGATCCATAAATGCCAACAGTGATTTACAAGGAATAAATAAAAAATACCCAGCAAAGAGTAAAATAACTTTAGGTATTAGGGTTTTCAACTTGATTCCATTCAGAAAGTAGTAAGCAAATTCAGAAGTCCTACTAGAAATTTAAAATACCCATTATAAAAACAATAAGCAGTTACAGAAATGCAGTGCACCTGTGGCTTGATAGCCAGAAGGAGGGAAAAAGACCTAAAATCATTAATTAACTTCAAATGCTATGAGACAAGATCATAATAACACTGCTGCCAAAAGAGACCACCAGCTACTGAAGGATGGTGATTTTCACATCCTTGGAGGTATATGACGAGAATGGAACTGTAACTGACAAGGCAGGGGTTTTTATCCGGGCTAGAATCAAGGGAGGATGTATATGAGGGGAGGGGGAAAATATGAAAGTGTCTGAGTATCAGTATGTAAACCATATACAAATCAGTGTGTCTGAATCTATGTGAGTGCACATTTACACATTCACATTTTTGGGGGGGGGGGGAAGGAGTCCAGAGCTTCCCATTAGATTCTTTAGAAAAAGAGAAAAAAAAAAAAAAAGTCTGAATGAATTCAAGTATCAGGCATTTGTTCCAAAAGTGTTACTTACAGCAATCATATGCCAACTGAGTGCTAGGCACTCAGGATATGGTCACATCTAAGAAAAATAGATTCAGGGGGCACTTAGTAACTAAATGGGAAAGAGATATTTTATAAGAAATCACAAATAAAGAGTGAACTGCTTATAAGAAAGCAAACACAGTGCTGTTGGAGCATACAGTAGGTGGGGTCTAACAGAATCTAGAAGATAGGCAAGCTCTTCAGGAATAAGTGACACTTGAGTGGAACCTGAAAGAAGAGCAAAATGAGCCAAATGCAAAGGAGAAGAACCAATCTAGATTACTCCATAAGCTTCATAACGTATATGCTAAGCAAATATTTGGGGGTGGGAAATTCAGTCTGATGGCACAGTTAATTCCATGAACGTTTAAAAGAAAAGACTGATTCTGATATACTTCCATATCAGAAAGCAACTAAAAGCAAACAACAAAAATAGAATACCAAAAACAAAACATGGAATGCAAAATGCAAGATAATCTAAGGGTAAAAATAAGAATACATACCAAGTGTTTATGTGAGCACGGAAAATGTACATACATCTGATTTGTTAACCATAGTTATTATCTCTGGGAAATGGATAAAGTTTGCCTTCTATTTCATATGCAGTGTTGGATATTTCGAAAATTCATTTGTTATTTGAGTAGAATAATAAACAGTGAAAACTTCTTCCCATTTGATCCAATACTATTATACTAGCATGTCTATTACATTCTCAAGATATAAAGACAAACAAATCCAGCATAAGAAAAAGCAATCAAAAGAATGGAAAACAGATCCATATGCATAAAGAACTAGGATTGTTTGCTAAGACTGAAGATAAAGCCAAGTATTACAACACAGGAAAATTATTTTCTGTATCCTCACAAGACCAAAGTATCCTAAAAGACCCATAAACAGATTTCTATTGATAAGAAAGAACTTCTTCTAATATCTTGGCAACTTTGAAAAGGATAAAACACCTGAACGAGTGATAGTTTCATCTTTGAGGTCAAGAGGAGAATGGAAAAGGAACATATTCCTTAGGCTGATTTCGACATTCAAGTTCCTCAAATTGGACGACTAGACCAACTGCATTCTGAAAATTATTCCAGGCCTTAAAATAGTCCATTATCTACGCAATGAAGTAAAAAATAATCCCTTTTACAACCACTGTGATCTACTAATAGGATTCATTAGGAAAGAAAGTGACCTCTGACTTTTTCAAAGACTCTTTGTGGGCAAGTGTATATTACCAGCATAAAAAGAAGAGTCAAGGATTGCTTCTGGGCTGTAAACACTCAAATCATTGAAAGTTACTAAGTGTTCATCAATTTACAGTGAATCTCACATAATCTGTAATGAGATTTATAAAGGATGCACTATATGTACTTGAGCTGTAGGCATGCAAATTTTATATAAAAGTAACAGTTTAATTTTTGTTCTATAGAGTGTAACTATACATTTACTGAAATACTATTTAGGCTAAAAGATTAAACGAATTAATTCTCATAAAGGGCATTACCTTCTCTTCTGAAGTAAACACTAAAAATATCAGGTAACTTCTGCATTAAGATCTCTGCCATCTGAAGGGCGCCAACCACTATCTTCAGGTCTTGGCTTGATAGCATGGAAGCAATATGACTGAAAAAAGAAAGCGTTTGTACATAAAGCATTTGTCTGAATCTGACAGTCACTGTGCGCCGTACTACTTCAAACTTGAAAGCAAAATATTTTAATTATGAAACCAGTTCACTAAACTAAGAATTTTTCTTAAACGCTCAACTTTTCCATTTAATTTATTCTCTGTCAAAGGTTTTTGTGAGTATAGAAAGGCAACAAAGGGCTCAAGACATTCCAAATAAACTGTCTGATGCATATTTTTTTCTATACTGTTTCTCTAGAGATCTCTGAAATGACTTGTAAAGACTTGGATTTCTAAAATGTTTTCACCACTTTCATGAACACACCTTGAAACAGCATGATTTTTCAGGACATCCTTTAGAAGTTCAGCATCCGCGAAATAAATTATCCTAAGAATTGCTCTAAGGCACTTATGTCTGACCGCAGGTCCTGCTGAGGAACTATACACTTCATAAAGAACACCAAATAATGTCTTAATAAAAGACTTAGCCAGTTCCGGATCCTCTTTCATAAGCTGTGCTCGAGCATCATCCTTCTTTAATTCTGAATATCCACCTGTAATAAAAAATGTAGCATCCTAAAATTACAGACTTCAGAAATACAACAGAGTAAGTATCATAAAGCGTTCGAGCTGATGTAATTATCTGAAATGCCATAAAAACTTTTTGGTTAGAAAACAAATTAACTTATCTACTGTGATCAACTTGGGTCTATAAAGATGCCAAAAACAGCATTAAGACAAATTTTAGCCAGCTAAAGAACCACTAACCATTCTGACCAGTTGAGAAGAACAAGGCACCACTACACAGTACCTCTCATTTTTACTAATGTATGTTTCACAAAATGTTGGGGACTTTCCAGTATTAACTAGCTAAACTACTGGTAAGAACTACAGAGTTCAAGAAATGAACAGTGAGTATTCAGTAAGAAACTGTGGAAAAACAAGAGTGACCTGCCACTTTGCTTAGGGGGAATAAGGTGTGGGCGAAAGGTAACTGATGAAAAGCACTAGATCAGGGGTTGGCAATGAATGGTCTGAAGGCCTACTCCAGCCCCTGCACCTACTTCTGTAAATAAATTTTACTGGAACACAACCACGTACATTTGTTTACATACTGCATATGGCTGTTTGGGGGCTATACAGCAGTGCTGAATACACAAACTGCATGGCCTGCAAAGCTTAAAATATTTATCATCTGGCCCTTTTCGGAAAAAGTGCTGGCCCTTGCACTCTAAACTAGTACAAAGAAAACAAACTAAATCCCTCAGGAAAGGAACAAACAACAGAAACTTGGGGGGGGAAAATCACAATCATCTGTTTTTCATTAGTTAAGAGAATTTTGGTAGGAAAGTTTAAAATAAAAGGTTGGATAGAACTAATCTGATGGGGTGTGAGTGGATCCAAAGGCAGAATAGGGATAAAAGGATCAGATTCAAAAACTGCATGGGCTGCAGAGAACACATGGCTGGCAGAGCAGAGAGGGGTGGGGAGAGGAGAAAAATAGGTGAGAGAGATTAAGTTGTAGAGTAAATGAGTCACAGGGACAAAACGTACAGTGTGGGGAATACAGTCAATAACTATGTAATACCTTTGGTGACAGATCATAAGTAGACTTACCATGGTGATCATTTTGAAATGTACAGAAATACTCAATCACTACGTTGTATTATAGGAGATTACATGCAAAAGTTCTAATAAAAAAATAGTTTTCTATTTCTTTAATTTTGTATCTGTATGAGATGATGGATATCCACTAAACTTATGTGATAATCATTTCATGATGTACGTAAGGTAAATCATTAAACTACACACCTTAAACTTACATAGTGCTGTGTCAATTATATCCCAAAAAAACTAGAAGGGAAAAAAAAACGCATGGGACAATTCTGACTGAAGTCCAGTACACTGCAAATCACTCAAGTAGAAAAATCATAAGGAAGATACCAGTTAAGCAGTATTTGCTCATTTCTCTATTAAAGCATCAAAAACAATTACTATTATGTAACTGCCTTAAGCCTAATGAAAACACTCGATAAAACAATTATTTTTATTGCAAATATAACTTTCAAGACAGCACAGGACTACTTTTAACTCAAAAGGTACTTACTAGTGTTAGTATTGGCTAAGGGGTTAGGTTTTCTCTGAATGGCACGTGCTGTTCCCGTGTCCTCATTGATTTGCTGCATAGAATTAAAATCAATAGTATAAACTCGTCCCAGAGTGGACAAGCTTATCTCATCCTCACCGACCTGATGGGCTGCCTGAGAGCAAAGAGAGAGAAACCTTGAATATAAACATGGAGAAATTTATTAACTTAAGACACAGTGGGGACCCTCCATAAATGCTAACTTACATATTTATTTCATCAGATTTTAGGTAGTGAAGTAATAGAATAAGGAAATTTTAATAGTGTGAGTGTGGCAAAACTCATTTATTCAACATACCCTTTTAAATTACACATAAATATATACCACAGGACCCATCAGGTCCCCAGAGACAAATACAGGTAAAATCCTGATGAGAGATTCAGTCATGGGAATCACTGACATGAAGGAAACATTACTTGTGTTAAGAAGGCCTTTAAGACATTGCTGATAGAAAAAAATTTGTTATCCATAAATCTTAGCATCTAATTCTTAGGTTAGTGATATTTACATCATGGATTCCTAGCAGCCGAACAAAATCCTCTTTTAAACAAGATGATTCTATAAAACTATCCTTAGGTAAACAAAAAAGACTTTACATTTAAATGATGTTCTAAGACTGAAAGGGACACAAATGGAATTAAAGAAAGTAATTACTAGGGGTGGCATGCATCACACAGTAAATATCTCAAACAAGACAGCGTGAGTAACACTGTTTGCTTGATTTTAGACAGCCTAAAAGCCAGTGACAAAATCATCATTCTTATAATAGTCCAATCTATGAAACTCCTTGGCTGAATGAAGGACAGGACTCTTAGGAAATACAGAAGCATAAACTAATAGTGAAAATGCAATTATCAGGAAAATGCTAAAAAGAAGGCGGCTTAGCATTAGAGAATGCGACCTGCTTACACTCTAAGGCTGATGAAGCACAACCAGTCAGTTCACTTCCTCATAACACCTGGCTCTGAATTTAGAGCTCTTATTTTCATAAGAACTTCTGATCTTGTAACTTAAGTCAGTGGTTTCAAAGTTTTTCAAAAATCCATTTTTAGAAGCTAACTAGTAGAAGGTACCTTAAAGAAAAATGTCTATTTAACTGTAACATTCAAAAAGTTCTAATAGCGGGTGGGGGGTGGGAAGAGATAGACTGGGATTTCAAAATTGTAGAATAGATAGACAAGATTATACTGCATAGCACAGGGAAATATATACAAGATCTTATGGTAGCT